TAGACTCATGTTCCGTTTCTCCTTCATTTAGCAATCGAGTAATCTCCCAAATCGCCTCCCAATTTTTGTAGTTGTTCTCGTCACCTGTAATCATAGTAAGGGAGAGAGCAAACTAGTGTAGATGGTTAGTTTAAAAGAAACACTAAAACTATACATAGGACTCGACTCAAATATATACACAAAAGACTAAAAAAAACACAACTCAATATATACACAAGCAAGATCTAGAATCGATAAAGACCTAGAAATAGGCTAACCAGTCCCCGGCAATGGCGCCAAAAACTTGATACATGTGTATCAAGTCTAGAATTTATAACCCGATTCACAACTCGCCGCAAGGATACGGATCGTCGTAACACGGGGTCGAACGCAAGGATGGTAGCTAAGTCTAAATCCTAATCGAAACCAAATCAAGCAAGGAAGTGGAAGTGATGGTGGAAATATGTGGAATCAATGGAAAATAAAATAAGAAAGCAAATAAAAGCATGTAAACTATCAAGCAATGATGACCATGGGTGTCGGGACCGTATTCGCGTGTATGGATATATGCTAAGCCTGTGAGAATCACGATTATGACTTGTATTCGGGAATCGTCAAGCAACAAAGATAGAGAATTCACCTCTCGGTCTACTAACTCACTACCTACAGAGTAACTCGTCAATCTCTTGATCTATTCAAGTTAACCCTAGATGCATGAAGAGCGCTATCATCAACCCTAGATTGATTAAGCCATATCTCTATGTGAATTACGATCTATCCTATTGATTTTGATCCGAAACTAAACTCATATCTCTATGTAGTTTAGAATCTAAGATAATTGACCAAGGGCAAACATCAATCAAATAAAAGCACAAATCAATAGAACCGAAACAAATCAAAACCGAAATCTAAGTTAGGGTTCAAACATACCCAAAATACAAACAAATCCCTAACCCATAGTCGTGGATCTGATCTACTCACGGTTCATGGAAAACAATAAAAAGAACAGAGAAAAGGAGATAAAAGAAAGGAGAGAAAAGCTCATGTAGATGTGTAGTCTCCACGATCGAATCTTCCTTCTTCTTCCCGAAATCCCGTGAACATTCTTCTCTCACCAAAAACTCTCCAAAAGTTTGTATCTAAGTGTTCTCTAAGACTCTCTCTCGTTCTAGGACGTGGCTAGGTCTTTTTTATAACCCTAGGGTGGTTCCCAAGAGTCATTTTCTCTTTAGGACTCTAAAAATCGCAAATTAGGGTTTTTCTCCGTCGGATCCGGTTCCACCTTCTATTTCTTGGCCTTCTGGACACTTGAACTGAACCAAAATATGTGAACTCAGACCTCTTGAACCGGCCGGTTCCATTTGGAACCGGACCAGTTTCACTTTCTGGCAGATTTCTCAGGCTTCGCGATTTTGTTCATAACTTTCAGCTCCGATATCGGATTTGCGTGATTTTGGTATCTACGCGAAGCTCTTGAAAGGATCTTTCCAATGGTTAAGTCTCGCATTGGACTTCCGTAGAGAAATTTATTGATCTCGAAGCACGAGTACCTCATCCGAACTTATCTCTAACGCTCCAAAAACGTTCCTTTTCGCATCCAATTATCTTTGAAACCTGTAACTCTGCAAAACTAAAGCAGAACCGGGTTTTGTGTCCTAACACGCCTAGAATGCCTATAAAAGCATGTGATTATACTGTAAACCCTAGACAAACTCTCATAAAAATATAGAGAAAAATAGGAGTTATCAGAGACACATGTGCAGGAGCTCAATAAAGACATCATTTTGGCAAAGCTTAGCGGTCAGTGGAACTGCGAGGCAAACTATGATCATGATTCCTCTAGCCGAATTTGGTTCCTATCACGGAACACTCTTTTGTGCAATGTTATGAGCAAGACATCCCAAGCTATCACTGTCCACCTTTCACCCTTGGCAAGCCGGGAGTTCTTTGTTACGGCGATCTATGCATCCAATTCAAGTGACGAGAGAGAAGGATTATGGGCCCATCTTGAGAATCTACAACGCTCAGTTATCCCTCAAGCAACACCGTGGCTCATTGGTGGTGATTTCAATGAGATCATCGCAGCTTCAGAGCACTCTTTTGAAAACTTCAACCACTCAACTCCATCCATGATTCGCTGCGAGATTGCCTTTTCGCAATCTCTGCTTTTGACCTTCCCTTTCAAGGCCCCCTTATACTTGGACCAACAAACAAACCAACCACCCGATAGCCAAAAAACTTGATCGAGCCCTCATTAATGATGCCTGGCTCACTATTTTCACTGAAAGTCATGCGGTTTTCCTTCCCCCTCATCCCTCCGATCACACCCCCTGCTTAATCCACCAAACACCTCACTCTACACCAAGACCTAAACCCTTCAAGTTTTTTAACTTCCTGACCTCTCTCCCAGATTTTTTACCCTTGATGGAGAGCTCTTGGGCACTTGCGGGGAATCGGACCTCGACCCTCTCAGGCTTCCATCGGAAATAGAAGCTCCAAAAGATTCCTCTAAAAACTCTTTGTAAAGCTAAATTTAGTGATGTATAGAAGAGAGTCACTATCTCACATGAGGCTTTGACATGTGCGCAGGTGATTAGAAAGTGGAAGTTTTAGTGAACACATAGAAACAAACGGCACACGATTTGGTGAAGAAACTAGTGAGATATGAAGGTTTAAAAATCGAAGAAAAATTATAAATTTCAGAGAAAAACGCGAACCTGTTCTAAGTCAGAGAGTTTCGAATCATTTCCCAGAATGTAGATGTAATATTCCGATTAATTGATGGTTCGAATTAAAAGAGGACATTTCAATGAACGTTTAGAAACAAATGACACTCAATTTGGATAAGAAATGAGTAAGTTACGAGCCAACGAAGTCGGACCGAAATCTGAAAAAAAATCGCGAAATCCCGATCTGTCTCCAGACTCAAGATCGATCGGACTAGTCCCTAGACCGATCGGTCCAGGCGGAAATTACCTGGACTGACTTGTCCAGACACTGGGAATGTCTAGACCGACCGGTCCAGATACTAGGAGAACACTTGGACCGAATTATCCAGACCGACCGCCTAGACCGACCGGTTCAGATGCTGACAATGTCTAGACCGATCGGTCCAGACCCTGAAAATATCCGGACTGACCGGTCCAAACCTGAAAAGTGATAAAAATGAACTGAAAGGCCGTGGGAAGAAAAATAAACTTGGAACTGACCAAACTATGAGAAAAATAAGCCGGAACAACGACATAACGTAAAAGGAAAAAATATAAATAAATCAATAATTTGGATGCGTGGTGAGGCGTGCGACATACACCGAGTGAATCGTTGTATGATGATTGGGTTTATTTGCCGATGGGTCACGAGAAGTGACATTGGTCGTCACGAGAAGTGACGTGCGCGTGAGGCGCATTCTTGTCGTGAGATGCGACGGCCAACGTCATGCGATGTGACGGACGCGAGAGACGCTCCTAATCATGCGATGTGACTAGGGTTTATGGCTAACCCTATGGTGCGAAGCCATACGGGATTTGATTGTTGCGCGAAGCAACGACCAACGTCATGAGATGTGACGGGCGCGAGAGTGCTTCTAGTCATGCGATGTGACTAGGGTTTACGGTTGACTCTATGGTGCGAAGCCATACATACTTGATTGTCGTGCGATGCGACGGCCAACGCCATGCGATGTGATGGGCGTGTGAGGCGCTCCTGGTCATGAGACGTGACCAGGTTTTACGGCTAACCCTATGGCGTGAAGCCATATGGGAATTAATATGATTATGTTCTGATGTGATATGAATATATGTTTAATGTTGAATATTATATTTTGTGTTTTATCGTTTTAACACCGTTCTCGCTGAGAACGAGTTTACCGGATTCAATCCGGGTCATTCACAAAGCAGTTGTGCTTAGCCCTCATGGTTTCACCTTTTTCAGATCACGAGGAGTACGAGTAGCATGTTTGAGGTGACGAAGACTTTGAGGAGACAACATCGTATAAGGGGTTCCTTCTTTGTATGTTTTGAACTATGGAACTCGATTCCTATGTTTGTACGGTTGCACCCTTTCTAATTCGGACATGTGTGTTTTAAGACTTAATGATTGTTTAATTCCGCTGCGTGTTTAATATTAAAACGGTTTTAAAATTCCCGTATTTGGTTTCGTAATATTTTATTACTCTTAGTCCATGTGGCGCATCCTGTGATGGGAATCGGGATACGGGTGTCACAGTTACAACCAATGATGATCTAATGGATATAGGGCCATCCTTGAGTCAGATTAAGGAGTCACCTAAATCAATGAAAGGTACTACTTCTCCAAAGAGATCTTGTGTCCCGTAGGAAGATCTAAAACAAACTCAGGTTTTGGATAAACCGCCACCTCAGTCTAAAGGAAAATAAAAGACAGGGAAAGCAAACAGACCGCAAACTCAAACATCAAAGAAAACACACGGGCAAAGTCGTGGCCGAAAGGCCACGAGAGACACATAAAACATGATCGGAGATCCCATGGATTTTTTTGTATGGAACATCAGAGGGCTAAATGCCCAAAATAAGAGATTTTTTGTACGTAAGTGGTTGCTGGAGCAGAAGCTGACAATGGGCAGGCTACTAGAAACGCACATCCACCGAAAAAATGCAGACTGGATACTGAACTCAATACCTGCATGCTGGAGACATCATTGCAATTTCCATAACAACATGGGTAGGATTTGGCTAATCTGGAAACCATCTATCTCAGTGACGGTGTATACAACGACCAAGCAGACTATTACGTGCGGAATCTTGGATGAGAACCGTACAACTGCTTTCACAATGACGTTTGTATATGGCTAAAACACAGTAGCGGAAAGGAGAACTCTATGGGCACATCTATGTGAATTATCACAATACCCACCCTTGACAAACTCTCCTTGGCTAGTTCTTGGAGACTATAACCAAATTCGTGAGCCTGAAGATAGGTCAGACCTCTCTACTTCAGCACCTAATCAGCACGGAATTTCAGAACTTCGTGATTGTGTAGAGGCCATGGGAATCAGGGACATTCCGCACAGAGGCACACGTTATACCTGGTGCAACAGTCATACAACCGACCCTTTGTCCATCAAGCTGGATTGGGCAATGGGCAACGTGGTTTGGAGAGAGGAGTTCCCGTCGGTCTATGCCGAATTTGCCTCACAAGGGCCTTCCGATCACAGCCCCTGCATCATACACTACCCACCATCGCCAAACCAGGTGCACCGTCCTTTCAAATTCTTTCAGCATCTAACTCTCTCTCCCATGTTTCAGCAAACATTACAGGAACATTGGCGGGTCGGAGAGAGCAGGGACAACCCAATTCTGACTGTGCAAATTGCTGAAAATTCTCAAGCATCCACTCAAAGCTCTTAATGCTTCGAATTTCTCTCAGCTCAGCAAAAGAGTGAAAGAAGCAACAGAGGCCTTGGCGAGATTGCAGGAACGAAATCTGTCCAACCCATCAGTAGAACAGATTCTGGAGGAAAGATCTTTGAGGGCCAAAATGATGATCTTAGTCACTACAGAGGAGAGATTCTACAGGCAAAAGTAAAGGATATGCTGGTTGTCGTCGGGGGATCGTAACACGAGATATTTCCATAAACGGGCAACGGAAAGGACGAACATGAACCACATCTATTTCCTAAATGATAGCCAAGGTCAGAGGATCAGCTCACCAGAATTGATCAGAGCCCATGCAATTGACTATTACTCAAGCATGCTTGGGGAAAGGGATGGAAACATCAGAACGCCGGCTATAGAATGGTTACAGGACCTGATCGAGTTCAGATACCAGTCTGAAAACTATGAGGAATTAGTCAAAATTCCCACTGAAGAGGACATCAAACAGGTGATCTTTTTGTTTCCGGACAACAAGGCACCGGGACCGGATGGGTACCCTAAGGAGTTCTTTACATCAGCTTGAGGGACAGTGGGAGGAGATTTAATCAAGTCAGTGCAAGAATTTTTTCACTCGGATCATCTACTTGGCCAAACCAACGCTACTTTGATAAGTCTGATCCCAAAAACTGAAACGGCCACTACGTTATCGGAGTTTAGACCTATAAGTTATTGTAACACAACTTATAAGATCATCTCGACTATCCTCGCCAAAAGATTAAAACCAATTCTGCAGAGTATGATATCACGTAATCAGAGTGCATTTCTCAAAGGGAGACTCATGGTTGAGAACATCCTCTTGGCAGGAGAAATTATCAAGGACTATAATAAAACCTCGGCCCACAAGAGCGCAATGATGAAAGTGGACATTCGTAAGGCATTCGATACTCTTGATTGGGGAATCATAATCCAACTTATGAAAGCTATAAATCTCCCGCCTCATTTTGTGATATGGGTCAAGATCTGTATCTCCACGCAAAGTACTTAGTAGTGATTAATGGAGAACTCTCGGGATACTTCAAAGGCAGAAGAGGACTCCGACAAGGAGATCCCCTCTCGCCATACCTATTTATCATGACCATGGAAGTGCTTACAAAGCTACTTGAAAAATCAACAACTCTAGGCAGGTTCAAAATGCATTACAAATGTAAATCCCCTTTGCTCACCCATTTGGCTTTTGCAGATGATGTTATGATCTTCTCACAAGGAGACCAACCATCGATTCAGGAGATCAAGACAGTGATGCATGACTTTAGCGTTCTTTCGGGACTGAAGATGAATGCATCTAAAACTGAACTGTTTCTTGGAGGAATGTCACATACAGAAAAACTGACATTGACAGGCATAATTGGTATTAATTAAGCTCGGTGCCCTTCCGGTAAAATACTTAGGAGTTCCTCTAAACCCTACAAGGCTGACTCGCTCTGCCTACGATCCTCTCCTACAAAAGATTAAAAAGAAGCTATCACATTGGGCCGCAAAGTTCCTCAGCACAGCGGGCAAGATCCAGCTAGTTACCTCAGTCATCTATGGCATGGTAAATTACTGGAGCTCAGTATTTCTGATGCCAAAACATATGCTACGGCAGATTGACTCCCTCTGCTCCAAATTCATATGGCAGAGCAGATCAGACAAAGCAGCAAGTCATCGTGTTAGTTGGGATGCTATTTGCAAGCCTAAAAATGAAGGAGGATTGGGGATTCGACGACTGGAGGAACACAACACTGTGTTCTGCCTAAAGCTGATATGGCTATTGCTCTGTCAAACAGGCTCCATCTAGGTCGCATGGGTTCGGGTAAATGTGTTCAAGAATAGGAGCTTATGGGACTGCACAGGCTCGACAATTGCCTCGTATAATTTGAAGAAGTTGTTGAAGCTAGGAGACCTCGCTAGACCACTAGTCAAATCAGAAATAGGGAATGGTCAATCTACCTATTTCTGGTTTGACTGTTGGCTAGACTCTGGCCCCTTGATCAAACTCATCGGAGAGGCAGGTCCGAGATTACTAGATATCCCCCGAACAGGGAAAGTACTAGTGGCTGTGAAGGAGGGGCAATGGAGTATCCCTAGGGCGAGAAGATCAAGCATACAATAGTTGCATAGGCAACTTGAAGGCCTAGCCATTCCCACAATAGACCGAGGGGACAATGTGGTGAAGTGGAAACACAACGAGGATGCTTTTAAGTCGTACTTCAGCTCTAAAGCAACGTGGAACCTGATTCGGTGCAAATATTCCCGAGTACCTTGGTATAAATTGGTGTGGTATTTGGAAGCGGCGCCTCGTCATGCTTTTGTATTGTGACAGGTTGTCCAAGGAAGGCTTCCGACAATTGATCGCCAGGGAAAATGGGGATTGTTGATGGCTAACCGATGTCCACTATGTCGGACTGATGAGGAAACTCATACACACCTATTTTTCATATGTGCCTTCAGTTACGAGGTATGGTACCACTATGCTAATAAATGCAAGAGCTCTCCTCCTTCGAACCTGCAACAATGCCTATCGTGGATGGATCTGTTGGGGAACCAGACGGAGAATGGACTAATCATCATTTCAAAGCTACTCATACAGTTGACAATATATGAATTATGGCGTGAAAGGAATAAGAGAATTCACCAAGAGGAAGTACAAACGGCACAACAACTACTACGTCACATAGACAAGTCTATGCGAAACATCTTATTCTCCCTTCAGGCGTCGAGATCACCGCACCGACTGACATTATTACAGTATCATATCACTCTGCAATGACATCTACAGCTTTTAGAAAGAACTTTTGACATTTTTTTTTGGTTGAATGTGATTTATATTATATACCCAAAAAATTACAACTAGTCATAAGACTGTATACAAAAGTTTTCCAGAACCCATGAAGAAGTGGTCAAAATAATTCCTCAAAAGACAACATTCAATTGTTCTTAGTTGCGAATATTCATTGTAAGAAAATACCAATCTGAGAGCATAGATACTCCATCATCATTCGACTTCCTCGTAAGAGAGAGCAGCTTCGTCTGCATGATACGATCCACCTTCCACCTCGTGTACTCCATCGATTTCCGCTGGCTTCGGAATATTCGGTTGTGTCTCTCCTTCCACAAGGTGTAAGCTGTCACCTGCAAAAGAATCTTGGCAATCTGCTTCCTATTGTGGATGACATCATTCGCCGGGTTGTTAATCGGTGGGTTCGGCCAACAAAGACATGCATAATAACTCCATACTGCAGCGCTGTAGCGACATTCGAAGAATAAGTGATTATGTGACTCATCTTCTGCATCACACAATCCACAAGTCATGACGGAAGCTACTCCCCAACGCATCAGTCGGTCCTTCGTCGGAAGTCTCACATGCATCATCTGCCACATAAATATCGCCATCCTGGGAGTGCTTTGCTTAAACCATACGGTGGAACGCCAATGAACCGTCTCATGTGGGTTCCTAATGAAATTCCAGGTCCTGACTGTACTAAATGAGCTCTTGTAATCATCCTCTGCATACTTCCACAAGGCTTGGTCTTTGGTTCCATTCTCTGATGGCGGCACTATGGTAGACAAGTGGGTAAGAACCTCTTGTAGTCTGTCCGATCGAATGGCCGGTAAGGTCCAGGCACTGTCGCGTACTGCTTCGCTAACTGTCGAGAGTAAAGGTAGTCTAAGGTTGCGTGGTCCCGCTTCACCAACAAATCTTATCAACGGTCCAAGGATCATGCCAAAATAATGTCGTCTTCCCATTTCCAAGCCGATATCTCATAAATGTAATTGCCTTTTCCTTTAGTCCTAACAGTTTTCGCAGATTCCATGAGAAACTAGGCGAAGGAGTAGTGTTCCAAAAACCTTTTGACTTGAAGATGTTTGAACGTATCCAAGCAACCCATATTGAACCTGCTTTTGCAAACAAAATCCATATGAGCTTCAAACGAAAAGTCAGATTGTAATCAGCAACGGTCCGGAGCCCCAGTCCCCCTTCCTTGCGCAGTTGGCAGACTTGTATCCAAGAGATACGATGGGCTCTTTGACTCGAGGAATTTCCAGACCACAAAAACCCAGAACATAAGCTGTCAACTTGCTTGATAAAGAATTTTGGCAGTAAAAAAACCATAGCCCAAGCATTGATCAATCCATAGATGACAGAGCTAACTAGTTGGACTCTTCCAGCATACGAGAGATGCTTAGTGGTCCAGGAATTTAGCTTCGCTTTAATTCTGTCCAACAAGGGTTGATAATCGGTTTTTCCAAGTGTAGAATGGCTCAAGGGGACCCCCAAGTATCTAACTGGCAAGGAGCCTCTCTGAATCCCAATGGCAGTGCTCAAAGTTGATGCTTCAATGTCAGTCATCCCGCCAAGAAAAATCTCTGTTTTCCCCAAGTTCAAGTGTAGGCCTGAATATTTGCTGAAATTTGCGAGAATCTCCTTTACTTCAAGCAGCGAGTGGAGATCTCCGTGTGTAAAGACCATAACGTCATCCGCGAAAGTGAGGTGGGTTATGGTTGGAGTTTTGCATTTATGATGCAGCCTTATCCTTTGTTCTGAAGCCCCTCGATCAATCATTCTTGATAATACCTCCATAGACAGTATGAATAGATAGGGGAAAATTGGATCCCCTTGTCTAAGTCCGCGCCTACCCTTGAAGAGGCCCGCTAATTCGCCATTCACTGAAATAGAGAATTTAGGAGTCTGCATGCAGGTCGTAATCCATCTCACAGTTGCTTGGCAGATTTAATGCTTTCAATATCTTTTCAACAAATTCCCAACTTAATGTGTCAAAAGCTTTCCGTAAGTCTAGTTTTAACATTGCCTTCTTCGTTGAACTCGGCCTATTGTGGTCTCTGACAAGTCCATAATTCGCCATTCACTGAAATAGAGAATTTAGGAGTCTGCATGCAGGTCGTAATCCATCTCACAGTTGCTTGGCAGATTTAATGCTTTCAATATCTTTTCAACAAATTCCCAACTTAATGTGTCAAAAGCTTTCCGTAAGTCTAGTTTTAACATTGCCTTCTTCGTTGAACTCGGCCTATTGTGGTCTCTGACAAGTCCAGTTGTGTTGGTTGTAATGCTCTAGGATGATCCATGATATGACATTTTACTTTGTATTGATTCATTGATTTATGAATGCATTATTTTTCCCGTTATACGATTAGCATGTTTGTTGTATTTCGACATCCTTGAATCATTAGAGAATGATTCTAAACTCCCTAGTCAGTCATCATTGTGGGAACAATGTTGAATCAAGACTAGCATGAGGTGTGATCGATGCATTGGATGCATATCACAATCATGGGTACTCGTTGTGAACGAGTGACTGGATGACCCGCATGAGATTGTCACATGGACAGAGTCATGACTTGAATCTCATACAACGGTTCGTTTATGGATCCTCATACCTGAGATGTCTAGAGTATCTAATATGAGGAGTGGCGTGTCTTGACTGCGTCAAACGTCGTCTTTAACCGGATGATTATAACGGCGTTGATCAGATACGTTCACGAATCATATGGAGATAGTAGACATGCAATATGGGACTTGTCACCTCCTTAACAGGAGAGATATCGCTGGACCCCCTCGTGGGAGTCGGACTATGAAAATGCGTGGCCGCGCTATAGATGAAGTTGCATCTATTTTACTAGTCGATTTGCCAAGACGAGAAAGCAGTTGAACTTGAAGGGTGGCTCAAACCATGCCCTTGTTCAACATATGATATCGTGAGACAAAGGATCAGAATTCGAGCTGTTAATGCCTTGGTTAGATCACCTCTAACTCAATTCTAAGTGGGTGGTCATGGCGTCTTGCTAGAGACTAACCATGACTTGTGGTTCGGGAAAGGTTCCTAAAGTCACTACCACTTAGAATGGGCCTACAAGGTCACACAACAATAGGGATGGACTTATACGTGAAGAATCCGAAGAATGGAAACGAGATTTGACCGAAATGAGCACGAAAAGGAGTTTTCAGTGTGTTGGTC